CTGTTTCACACCTCACAACGTGTGTGGGGGTGGGAGGGGGCAGCTTCCCCTGGAGGACTGAAGATGTGACCTACTTCCTGGGACAAGACTGCAGTTTCAGCAGGTGACTCTGCCTGTCTCCTGAGACAGCGTGGGGAAGGAAGGCCCATGCTGTGCTCACTGTATGGGGTTCTTCAGGACAAACATCCGCATAGCCCCTCTACCTGCATCAGTCTCTGTGTGCTTGGGAGCCTGCCCCGATGGAGGCTGAGCCACAGCCTTCTGAGCTGGACACTGGACTGTCCAGGTTGAGAAAGGGGTCACATATGTTCCACGTATGACCATGCCATGTCATGCCTCTAACACAGCTGCATGCCCTGTACTCAGGAGTGTTCACCTGTCCTCTGTGGGGTGTGGCACTGGGCTTGACTCTTGGCTCGGAGTCTCTGACCCCAGGGCTAGTATCTGCTAGCTGCCATGCCCAAGCCCTTCACAGCAAGAAGGCATTGTGAGCATAAATCTCATTCAAAGTTGGAGAACAATGGGCCCAGTGTCTCATAGCAGCTAAGGGGCCAGAATGGCTTCCTACACTACTCTGAAGATCAGATTTAAGTATGTGTGTGTGTGTGTGTGTATGTGTGTGTGCATGCATGTATGTGTGTGTATATATGTAGATATGTGTATGTATCTGTATGCATATGTATGTTTATGTGTTTGTATTTAGGCAATTATCACAATTAGGAGTTGTTTATTTTGTTATTTCTGCCATGTCAACCATGCCCCCGGCACCTCTGGCTCTGATTCTACTGCATCACGAAATTCTCATCCACTTCCTCTCCCTGATGTTGGAACACAGACCTTTTCAGAACAGATGAACACTAAATGCTAAGTGAATAAACTCAAAGGAAAAAGTTGTAATTCTGAACCCAGTTCCAGCTCCCTGAACCAAAGATCCAGACCTCCGGAGCCTTGTGGGTCATCTCCTGCTTATTGACTTGCTGAGAAACGGCTTCCGTCTGTGGCCCAGGCTGATCCTGAACTTGTGATCCTCCTGTCTCAGTGTCCCAGGTGCTGAGATCACAGGTGTACTCCACCTGGCCTGGCCTCAGGTGTTCTTACTGTTTCCACAAAAGCCATTGTCGCTAGTGAGTAATCCCATCATCACAATTATTTCTAAAAATGGGTTCAGAATTGGATTTTTCTGGTCCATCCAGACAATTGCTGCAGAAGGGCACTGAATCTTTTCTACAGACATTGTTGGTTCCTGGGGTGTGAAGGAGGTATTAGCAAGCAGTCTTGGCTTCCCCATGTGCAGCTCTCCCGTGTCCCTGTGTGCTGGGGGGGGGATGCCCCTCTTCATCCAGAGTCTCTGCTCTGTCATCAAACCACAGACAGTCCATGTGCTTGGCTAACTCACTGTGAAGTCTGCATGAGACTCCACAAGGGGATGCTGTGTCAGGACAGAGCAGCTATAGCGGATGACAGAAAAACACCTCAGAGCATCACAGACTAACACAAGGTAAAGAACTGACTAACCAGCGAAGCGCAAGAACCTAGAGAGGGATGCAGGAAACTTTGCTTCCTTGTGCCCAAGGTGTTACTAATCCAGAGACAGCTATGGTTTGGAGTTTCAGGCAAAAAATACAAAAAAGAAAGCCTAGGGCCTGTCAAAAGTGGGAGCCAGTCAACATTCCTCTTTTGGGGGCTTCCTTTAAGCAGGGATTCCAAATGGCTGCACGGAAATCTATGGTGAGCCTTAAGGAAAACAGCTAGTCCAGGACCCACAGGAAAGCTCAAGGCTGTGGGTGGGTGCAGAGCTTACTAGTAAAGGAGTAATGGTGAGCAGGACCTTTGACCTCCCTGAAGCCAGGCTGCATCTGAGAGAGAGGAGGGAAATAAATACTTAGTGTTAAGACAATAAATCCCCACCAGTGAAGAACCCTGTACCTTGCCAGGCAGTGGTGGCGCACACCTTTAATCCTATCACTCAGGAGGCAGAGGTAGGCAGATCTCTGTGAGTTCAAGGCCAACCTGGTCTACAGTGAGTTCCAGGACAGGCTCAAAAGCTACACAGAGAAACCCTGTCTCGAAAAACTAACCAACCAACAAACAAATAGGCAAGCAAGCAAGCAAGCAAGCAAATAAATAAATAAATAAATAAAAGAACCTGTACCCTAAGAAGACATTTGCTGCCTCATCAGACTTAAGTTGCAAGAAATGCTGAGAGGGGTCCTGCTGAGCTCAGAAATTCAGACATGCATAAGAAAAGGGCATAGGACAATGAATAAGTGAAAGTAAATTTAAAAATGGTGATTTTTCTCATTTGTTAATTGTGGAATTATCAAGACAATAATAGGAGTCGCATCCTCAGCCCTACACATATGCAATGCATGCACCCCACTCTCAGTTACACAGACACACATGCATGCACCCTCAGTCACACAGATGCACACACATGCACCCTCAGTCACACAGATGCAC